TCCTATATTATGGGGGTACTCTTAGGTCCTCAAGTCCTATACTATGGGGGTACCCTTGGATCCTCATGTCGTATATTATGGGGATACCCTTAGGTCCTCAAGTCCTATATTATGGGGGTACCCGTGGGTCCTGAAGTCCTATATTATAGGGGTACCCTTAGGTTCTCCAGTCCTATATTATGGGGGTACCCTTGGGTCCTTAAGTCCTATATCATGGGGGTACCCTTGGGTCCTCATCTTCTATTTTATGAGGGTATGCTTGGGTCTCCAGTCCTCTATTATGGGGGTACCCTTAGTTCCTCATGTCCTATATTATGGGGACACCTTCAGGTCCTTAAGTACTATATTATACGAGTACCCTTAGGTCCGAGCCGCTGTGGCTGAATAGTTTCGATGTTCGACTCATATCCACAAGATAGTGTGTTCGAACTTCGGCACCATCATACATAGAATGACCTTAGACAAGTCACTAACGGTTGTAGTGTCTCGGACCATGCATCCGATAACATACTGATTACATTGTCGACATACACAAAAAGCCTTTATAACTCGTATGTGGTTAGTCAGCATGTAAGGGGAGCTTAAGCGATTAAGCGAGAAGAACTCTGAGTCAGGCCGGCCTTCTGCCCAGAACTGTAACTAGTACTAGTTGCAGGAAAAATATCCGGCCTTCGAAACTGTCCTTGGACAGTACCTCATACTGAAAGGTAGCCAAAAGTCAGGGGTATTCTTCTTGTTCTTCCTTAGGCCCTCATGTTCCAAGGGGGAAAGTGCAGATTTGGCACCTCAGCACCTGCTCAGCGCCTCAGCAACTCAGCACCTGCTCAGCACCTCAGCACCTGTGGATGCTGAAGTGCTCATACATATTTGGCATTAGACTGGAAATTAAGGTAATAGCTATGAAGGAGACTGCGACTATGGATGTGAATTTATTGTTATTGTTATTTATAACAGATTAATAACAAATCCTATTAAATGAAGGTATCCGTAGGCCCTCATCTCCTATTATATGGAAGTACCGTTAGGTCCTCATCTACTGTTATATGTGGGTACCCTTGGGTCCTCATCTCCTACTATATGAAGGTACACTTGGGTCCTCAT